TATAATTTATTTTCTATGCATAATTAAAAAAAAAATATTAGCATCCTGCACTCCTCTATATAAAATATAAGTGTGGGAAATTTCATTATCCTCCGTCCGAGAAATATTCGTAAAAACGGGTACAAAGTTTTTGCTTCACGTATGCAAACGATAAGTAAACGTAAAACTGTTCCATTATGATATCACCACTATAATTACTAATAACTAGATTTTGGCGTTGCATAAATACATACTAGTTTTTACTAATTACTCGCTTAATGTGCATCGGGTAATGAAGTAATGAATGCGCGTTAAATGGAATAAATAATTGGTAATTCTTACGGGTCCGTTTCTTTTGTGTTCGCGAGGAATCAATATGCGTTCAGCGAGGAATGCGTCTTCGATTACTTTCTCATTATCTTACAATGCCCTACAGCGGGTTGAAACGTAAGTAAGTCTAAAGCAATGGCTCTCAAAGTTTTTTTTTTTTTAATGGAATAACCAATTTTTTACTAACGATAAAACAAAACCGACTTCTAATATCTCTATGCTCATTTTATAATTGATTTTGAGGAGTTCCCTAAGTATCTCCGGAGCCCAAGATCCAATACCGATGAAATTAATATGGGACCACATGGGAAGCACCAGATTTCAAATAAAAAAAATCATCAAATTCGCTGTGTGTGTAACATTTCGAAGATATGTGAAGTCGGCCTATCCGCACCGGGGCCGCGTGAGAGGAGGCCTTCGCTCAGCGGCGGGAGTACAAAAACAAAGTAAACTAACAGCCCATACATGTCCCACGGCTGGGCAAAGGCCTCCTCTGTCCAGAGGGTATCAGGCCATAGACCACCACGCGACCCCACTGCCGACTGACGGACTTTACATAATAATAATAATAATAATAATTAAAATGTTTATTTTTATCCATAACATTTATTTTATATATGCAATATATATCTATATTTTTATTTTTATTTATAAACCCAACTAGACGAGAAAACAAATGAATATATAATAATAATAATAATAATAATAATCTTTATTTGCCATTAAACTGGGTGATTAAGAAGTTGATTTACAAAATTATTGACCTCCAAGTTCAGCCATAATATATGGCATGCAAATATTCGTTATACACCATAGCTACGAACAAGTTTTTTTTTGTTATTATTTCGAAAATATACAGGTTTCATGACGATGTTTTCCTTCGCCGCTTAGCACGTGATAAGTCGGCGCTTAAAATTAACAATTTCATCGGCGCAAACTCGGGTTGCTCGAATAATTTGAATTAAAAGCGAGCGCCCGGACTTTTAATAAAGTGGGCCCAGGCTACCTCACTCACCAGACGAAACGTAGTAGTATAAGACTCGCGCCAGTTTTCTGTGAGGTCGTGGTACTTACCCGGACGGACCTGCCATTTCGAGCAACATGGAAGGAAATTGCACGGCCCTATCACAATTAACTTATTTATGACATGAATGTTGTCAAATAACATCAGAAAAGCATCGCAAAAGAGAAACAGTTCGTTCACATGTTTTTAATATTTAGGACAGCGCCATCTATTGACGAGGAGCTTAACTATTTCGGCCGTAACTAGTTTCAATCTTTCGGCATTGCTAAAACATTAGGTAAACATTTATTTTTCGTAATAATACCATTCATGAAACATATTTCATGCTGAATAGCAATTTTTCGATACAGATATTTTTTAAGCTTTTTTAATTTTTTCTTCTTTTTACGTTTTGGTATCTAAAAAAACACAACTTGGAAATATAGAATTTTGTTACTATTTCTTTTCTATTATCCCACTTTCTTTTTTTTCTTACTAAACTTTGGCACTTACGTTCTAATTGCGTACAAAAATATGAAACACGTAAGAAGTTATACTTCTTTGGCGAAACAAAATAAAAATAAGTCCTAGATTATTATAAGGCCTGCTCCTACTAATATACATTTTTACAAACGATGAAATCTAATTACAAGTGTTATAGGATTATTTAAAAAGTATAGTCTAATTAAATAATGTTTATTTATACAATGTCCAATTATATATACCTACATAGGTAATTAAAATAGATATAGATATACTGAAAGCAGATTTATCGACTAACTTTACGGAGTTCATTTCAATTTTCATGTCACTGACTAACTTTATGGTGTCAATTTCAGTCCCTCATATTGTTTTTCCGAACTTCGAAAATGTTAATAATTTTCTAATAATCTAAAATCGATTTTACTGATACTGACGCATGATTGGTATAAGAAATATTTGCCTGTCGGCATTCCGTTAAGCAAGCGTAAAAGATTAGGTAGCTTCAAATAAAAGAGGGAAATGTCTTCGGTCGGATGTGGTTTAAACAGTTTTAACCTGACGAACGCGTCAACTTCAAAAAGGAAACTTAAAATTAGCCCTTCCACGAACTTCTGAATGCTCTTTTGTTTTTAACTGCTTACCTGTCCGGAAATGGATTACTCCTTTTTTAATCATCATCATTTTATTTTACTTTTTTGGCGGGAATGTTATTTACTATGTTTAAAGTTTAACGTGAAAGGCCATTTTTTCTTATTGGCGGGAATCTTATTTGACAACTGACTTTTGTTTTCTTTTTTTATTTAACTTTAACAAACTTAATGATATAACTAGGCAGTTTTATAATACCTACCTAAAAACTAACATTGGATTATTCTAAAAAAAACTAATTTCACGGTCAGTCGATAATGAATGTATAAATTTCAGTTAAAGTAATCCTTCATATAAGTGCTTAGTCGATCTCGATGTTTCTGGTACTACTGAGCACACGCACATATGCAGCGCTCTATTTACGCCGTCCAATGCCAAGTGCAGTGTAAATAAATCCCTACGCGTTACAAAATAAAACGTCGAAACCGCCGCAAGGATCCGTTTGGCGGAATTCCAACGCCATCGAGTTACAAATGAAACGAACTCGATGATTTATCGATTTGAACGAATCGATTTGCGTCCGACGGAGCTTATGATGTATCGTCGATATTTTTGTATACGGAGTTCTGATTACGATTACATTCTATATGTAAAACTAACAAGTACTCTGGCCTCGTATTGAATATTTGTATTTATTGAGAAGCTATTAAATAAACTGAAAGCTGGTAGTATAAAATTTGTTATTGGTAACACAAAAATCCTTACTAATATTATAAAGGCGAAAGTTTGTATGTATGGATGGATGTTTGTTACTCTTTCACGCAAATACTACTGAATGGATTTTAATGAAACTTAAACAATAATATAGCTTATACATCAGAATAACACAGGCTATAATTTATATACATATTTTTATGTGTATCTGTCTTTCTGTCTGAATGTTACGCATTCAGCCTATTCTACGCAGACGTAGTCGCGGACAGCAGCTAGTAACATATAAAGCTATTAATACGGGTATATTTTTTATAGTTCGCAAGTGAGCAGGTGGTTCACCTGATATTAAGTGATTTCCGCTGCCCTTGGACATCTACAACACCTGTTGGGTTGCAGACGCGTTGCCAACATTAAAAAAGTTGGCCCCGGTTATGTCACTCACCACTCACCAGACCAAACGCGAAAGAATAATACTTCCAATTCACGCTGGTCTTCTGACGAGACCGTGGTAATTCTCCGAGGCGAGCCTGCCCCTTAATTTACAGCTGAAGCTGATGCGTGACCCTAGAAGACCCTAGAAGAATATTAACCAAAATTCTTATTAAATCGCATTTAATACGTTTACGGGAATTCTATAGCAATCAATTGTGTGCCTAACTGCGGCTTGATGGTTATTCTTATAATAATATGTTAATTATGTAATTGAAATATGTATGTCAATTAATAAAAATTACCTAAAAGAAAACCGTTTATTTACACGTCCTAACACAGAGATATCAATTATCAGATTAGCACCAAACTAGGTTAAGCTGTATTCATTTGCGGATGTTTTTTTGCATATTTTCCAATAATCGATATAAGCGCAAATTGACGTTCTGGACGCGGCCGAGAGACTACGCATTTAGACAGCCTGTGATACAGTTTCCTCAATCAATTTGCAGATTTACTACTGCTCCTGAAAATAAATTTAACCAAATTGACTCCGGATGTTAATATTATTGGTAGATTGATAAAATTTTCCATCGAACGGGTGTTATTTTCGTATTTCAATGTCAGACTTACGTTGACGTAGTCCACCATGATTAAATACGAGTGAGTTCCGGTTAACGCGTTTTCAATTAAAATTACAACTTTTTTTATTTCACTTGATCGATAAAATCTATCTCTTATTACCAATCAATTAAGGCTTATTAAGATTTTTCCGATCAGAAAACACAATTTTGTAACAATAAAACGCATCGCGTTTTCCGACGAAACGCTTCTTTGAAGCGGTCTGACGTCGGCCGTCTGACGCCTTTAATTAATCTGTGGCGGGAAAATGAAAGTAAAAATAACGACGTCTTGTTGAAAGTAAATCTTATCCAAGTAGTTGCGATTTGTAAACAACCTCTAACCACGGCAACCATAAATCAATGCCATAAACACAAAAAAATCGATATTATAGCCGCCAAAAGTTTTAGCAAATTTTAGCAACAAGACAAGTAATAACATATTTAACCGAGTTGATTTAACTTTTTAAAATTCCATTAATCTATGGGTACTTAACTGTTCAGATATTACCTGTGATTATACGAAACCCTTACTTATATTCCTTACTTAATCCTCACTAGTATTATAAAGTCGAAAGTTTGTATGTATGGATGGATGTTTGTTACTCTTTCACGCTAAAACTACAGAATGGATTTTAATGAAACTTTACAATACTAGCTTGTTCATCAGAATAAGACAGGCTATATGTTATATACATATTTTATGTATTATTGTCTGAATGTTACGCCTTCAGCCTATTCTACGCAGACGCAGAATACATTTATTAGATCTATAACAATTAAAATTATTACAATCCTAAAAAAATAGGACGCTGTAGCTTATGATATTAAATTGGGACGTTTTCGTGTCTTCACTGCTTCGGCTGCGAGATGAAGGACGAATTGGTCTGCGCTGCGAGAAAAGGTCTTCGTTGAGGACAACCCTTGAGCGGAAACTTTAGAAATTGTGATGTTATGTTTCCTTTGACCTCGCTGACGACCCAATTGGCGTATTGGATAATGACCATGTCTCTTGCGCCAGAGGGTGTGGGTTCGATCCACACAACTGAAACAATATTGTGTTATGAACATTGTGTTTTTATAGTGCCTGCGTGTATATATATGTTTAATATTATATTTACTAAGAAAATTACATTTAAGTTTATTTGTCAGTTACCCATAGTAGAAGTTTTGCTTAGTTTGGGTAGATAAAGTTATTTAAAAATATATTCAAATAAAAAGTCTTAAAAATAGGGTATCGTTCGAGGTATGCCAATGGGATCACACCTCTCGATTCTTTCCTTCACCGCTATATATAAATAGTTTTTAAATTGTAAATTAAATAAATTTTAGCTGTTTTAAATTTTTAACACACATTTACATAAATATGTATTACGGTTCCTTGGCCGATGTAAAAGTTGCTCAATTGACTGCTAGATAAAACCGATAAACCGTAAACAGTTATTGTGTCTTATCAGTTATAACGGTTTTCGAGATCTGTCTGAAAGTTTCATCACGAGATTACGTATAAACTAGACCGCGACATTAAGCTGTAAACGCGTCGCTAACGGAATCGGAACAAAGGATACAAATTATGGAACAGCGCAAAGGTCTTTGCCTCGACTAAATATAGAGAGGAAAGTTCGGGACGCTTGCCGTGAATGTATCGATGATACGTTGTCGAAAGATCTTTGTTCGTTTATTCCAGTGGAATTAAACAACGAAATAATCTCAGTTTACGTTTGATTATTCACTTTGGTCGAAATGCTAAATTTAAACGCGGAGAATTTAATATTGGTGGAAACAAAGGAACGCTAGGAACTAAGAAATTCGTATGAGTTTTCATTTCATAGTAAGATTGTTTAACATTCGAATAGATTTTAATCACTCAAATTAATTATTTAAATTTAATTTTAGATCTGTAATTTGTGTACATATATATCGTATTAAATAAGTTATTAATTTAATATAATACAGAAGCATTTTATGACATTATAAATACGTTGAGTTAAAATTGATGTCAATTTTTTTAAATATGTATAAATTCTTCATCAACATTCTTAATTCAGATTAATATTGATCGCGAAAGTTTTTTCCCCCTATATCTTTACTGGAAATATTTCTTTTCATGAGCGTGTACATAGATTTTGGTGAGGTTCTTTTGTTTGCAGTTTGTTGAGAAAGTATCGATAGTTTGAATTATCGATACAAATCTCTTTAGTAACAATAATTACTATGTTACGCTGCTAAAATTAGTATTTGTAAATTTTTTTTATTTGCGTAAACAAGCATCCGAGGAGGATCATTACATTCCCATAACAATTACATTTTCAATAACTAAACATAAATAGCTAGAACCAATGACTGACGTTTTTAACAAATTAAGATTAACTAAATTACTGTCTCTTTTGCCTTATCTAAACTTTTTCCAGCGTTATTACATTATGTTCGTACAACATGAACTACTTTTATGATCTGCAAATGGTTTACTAGATATGTTATCTGTTTGTGTCTGTAAATTGATTTATTCAAGACCAATCTGACGTTCAAGACGTCTTTACAACGCGTGATGACTTGACACTATATACATATAATCATTATTTAAATCTTTGTAACACAGTGTATTGTTAATTGAATATGCCATGGAATTAAAGTATGTGAAATAGTCTAGATAAAATTTATACAAAATATTTCAAAATTATAACTGGTTTCTTCACTTAACTGTGCGTTGCACATGTGTGATGTCTTACGATCGGTATTTACCTCAAAATTATGATAAAATACCGATACTGACTATTAATAAACCTTTTTTTCCGATGGAATCATACTTGGGGCAGGTCGCTTAACACTGTATCACTTACATAACATTTTCTTCCATAACGAACGCCATGCAAGACCGCTTGGCCCTCGTCGGGCGTCGCCCCGCCACAAATCCGTCAACAGCTCTCCTTTTCGTCAGCGGCCGGTCGGAAACCAGTGCCAAAGCTTCGACCTACTTGTCTATGCCCCTCAACAATGACACTTCATAAATATGACACATATTTCGCGTGTTTTCTCGTGCGATATTATTGTCAATAGATTTCTATGTTAGAATGCAAAGGTTTTTCTTTACCCAAAAAGCGCTGGTCTGTCCCGTGGCCAAAATCCTCTGAAGGACTCCGTGATGCTTCTCGAAGGTTCGAATCGAACCCACGTATCACCACGCTGGATACGTGGGTTCGATTCCCACACGAGACATCTATATTTGTGACCCATAGATAATTAAATCTGGGTGTTTGTCCACGTGAAATTTATGTATGGAAAACGTCCTTACAACACAGGATAATGTTATCCTACAGTAATGGGGCAATTTTTTCGAATAAAACAAGAAATGTACCGTTTTAACTTCTTTATTGGTTATTGAACATTTCCAGTTAATGTCTTAGTTAGGATGCCAACACTTGATTCCAGTGATTTATCAAACATTAAATGTACTTATAATTTTGTAAGTACGCGTAAAAATCAGACCCTAAAACTCCTAGAAGTGAGAATGCCATACAAGTGCTAAAGCGTCTATGCGAAGCAGTAAATGAGCAGAGGTTAATTTACGTTCATTTATAATTATTAACAAATGTCTTAATATTTTATACAGGCCTTTATCGCTATGTGAATTATTATGACAGGATTTCTTACTATGTGGCGCTCCAAATTATTGATTTATTTTCCTAACCGCCGGAGACAGACAGCATTGATAATATGTCAGTTATTGATTAATAACATATGCACAAGATGGAATAAGAATTTTTGACGAGTTTTTAAATTTTGGAAACAAAATCGACTTCAAATGTCTCACTCACTGTACATTTTCTATTCGACTTTGAAGAGTTCACTGATGTATATACGGGGTCCAATATTCAAAAAAATTTAATCTAAAATCGGTTCATAAATGACGGAATTTTGAGGTAGCAAACATAAATAAGTAGACGTAGAATTGAAAACTTCCTTCTTATTATTAAAGGACAAAGTACAAAAAAATACAATTTTATCTCCATCGGTTAGGAAAATCAATCAATAATTTATAGCGCCATATAGGACGAGATCCTTTAAACTCGTTTAAGCGTAAATAGTAACAAGTACTAAAACTACACTCAACAATATAGCGTCCGTTTCCTAAAGAAAGTCGTGGCATTGTCTTACAACCGTCGTGAGACGATGATGAGATGAGTTATAGTCGCTGCAAGACAAAAACAAAACTTGCAGTGTCGCCAAATTTCGGCTCAAAGCCATATGACTGACTGACATCGTCACAACTTTCGGTCAAAAATAACTTTGTGCGTCACCGAAGTAGAATGACCGACACACTTGTTTTTTTTTTTTGGCAGTTGCTTTTCAAAACACCACGTTACATATAATGTGGTTTCTCATTAACCGACTTAAAATATGTACTAAAAATGCTTCAAATATACTCGGAGTATGTAAACACTCTCAAGTAAATTCATAATAAGGTACATAAGTTAAAATGATATATAAGTAAGTTTTTAAACTTTTATTTATGTCGATATATTTTGAATAGCGAACATCACTACACTGCCGAACCGAAAAGGGCGCGCAATCGGTATAAAGTCGTCACACACGCACGCCCGTGTTCTTAAAATAAAGTTACGTCTGTATCCAGACTAATGAATGTGTTAGTGCATTGTCTATTAACATACAAATTATATGAGAAGGTATTTATGGGGCATTCGTTAAATACGTAATGGTAGAAGAAGGTTATTAATTAAAAATCAAATAAAATCTAATAAAAATGGAAACAGTATAATCATAAGTAAATTATAAGAAAATATAATCTACGTTATTTTAAAGAAAAGCATTTTAGCTACTTTTTTACAGATGAATCTCTATAACACGCAAGTTTCGTCTGCACTTGTTCATGTTTAGTCTATGGCGATTTGCTGCCTTCTCTTTTTTTTTAATTAATTCACATTTTTCGCCTAAAGTCAGCTGTTGTTGACAGTCATAAGTTAAATTAATAATACAGATTTAAATTTTATTATATAATTATACAGATTTAAATTAGTGTGACAGTTAATAAACTTTCTCCTCGTGCTGTTTCTTAAATGACGTCTCAAGTTTTGTAGCATCTTTCTATATTAGGACAATAAACAGATCATCTGCTATAGATGGACACGGGCCAACGATAATGTTGATTGTTTCTCAACGTTATGGATAAATAAACAAACTTGTTTTTCGGTCCATCTGTTGTATCATTGTCTTTGTTAGGTAATGACGTCTTTGTTTTCAGTTTTAATTACTGGAGGTTATGGACTGGTGTCTCATATGTTTAACTGAAAAAGGATTCCCAAAAATGTATTAATGATGTGTTCAACAATTGAGCAAAATGCTACCAATAGTAAAAAGTGAAAGACCTGAAGTTACGCTAGTAGATGAAATGAAGTTTCTCAAGCTTGCGGTTCACCTGATTTTACGTGATAACCGCTACTTTTAACCGACTTCAAAAAGAGGAGGTTCTGAATTACTATTACAGACTTTTTTTTTTTTTATGTTTGTTACTTCATAACTTTTGACTGAGTAAACCAATTTTGATTTTTTTAAATAGGTCACTCATTGGTCATAACTCTGGTTGAAATTTGAAAAGCTATTTGACAGCTGATTAGTTAACATCTACGATGATCAGCGTCTCAGAAACCGAGCTTTAGAGTACTGAGAGCAAGAGTCACAGGTGCTTGCAATACATTGTTAATTAATGAGCGGACGCAAACGGAGTAGCGGGTATCAGCTAGTCATATGTAATGGTATTATGCGAGCGTGAACGCTATCTGGGTAAACAGACGTGGCCCACATCGCTAGAAGGACGCGGTTTAGGAGTTAAACGGTCAGTAGTTCTGGTAGAGTGCCAGGTTTAATAATAACCGGCGGCAGCGCGAACTATCTCTTAGGAGCTGCCGTCTTGAGTTACAGGAGCTCGGAGAAGGTCTTCTTTTATGCGAGAAGGTCGCAAGTAGTGGTTATATAGTCACTTGATGTTAAGTGGTAACCGCCGCATATGGATATTTGCAACACCCGTGCGCTGCCACCGTTTAATAAAGCTCGCTCCGGTTATCTCACTCGCCTGACGAAACGCAGAAGTATGACTGTTAATTCTTTAGAGAATTAATGAAATGGATTTAGTAGGCTTTGAAATAATTTAGAAAACTCGTAACTGTTTAGAAACTGTGTATTGTATCAAGTAAGAAATGGAACAGAACAGAAAATTATAACATAGTAAAAGACGTTAAACATAGAAAATAAAAACACGAAAATCGCAGGTAGGCAGCAAAAGTATAAAGGAAGATGGTTGAGCATATGTCCGCATCCTTTACATGATAGGTGGCGCTGTAACAATGACACTTCACGCCGGTCTTCTGGGAGGTCGTGGCACTTTCACGGACGGACCTGCTCATTCGTGCAACAGCGAAGACTGTTCCGACCTTCATAGCCTAGGGTGATAAGTCAGCACTTAAAATTAACCGTTTCATTGGTGCCGGCACCGTGGATCGGACTCAGGTTGCTCAGAATTAAAAGCGACCGGATAATGAGCTATAATTATAAAGGTTAATTTAAATTTTAAAGTTTTTTATAGTGCTAATCTCTGCACTTAAGATTGAACATTAAACATGTAGAAAAAGTACGAAAAGATTGTCGCCGCTGTGGGAATCGAACCCACGTCTTCGGCATTCCCGGCCTGACGCTCTAGCCACTGAGCTAAACGGCTTATCCCACAGCAGTTCGATTCCCACAGCGGCGACAATCTTTTCGTACTTTTTCTACTTGTTTCAAAAGGTTAATTTAATTCTAATATTAATGTAGCTTATGACCACGAGAAGTGCAAACAAGCAGTTCATCTGTTGACAAAGTGGATGCCATTTCACCAGAGCTGCATAAGCATTGCCAGCCTATAAGCAAATAACCTTCTATGTCTCTTGGGACTTAACTAATCTGTTCTCTGTCTCTGAGAACTTGATTAATCTCTTCTCCGTCTCTGAGGACTAGATTAACCTCTAACCTAAATGAGGCTTCCGATAATAACGTAGTACGACTACATCTAGTTCAATGGTTCTCAAAATGGGCGGTACCGCCCCCCAGTGGGCACTGAAGGTAGCTGAGGGGGCGATTGAGACTAATATTAAGGCCCTTAAATAAAAATCGATGGGCGGAAGAAAGTAGGTATAAGGGCGCGTTGATAATTAGCTGCGGCCACACTGTGTAGAGATTTTAGTCGTTCAAGGAGAAGTTCATTAAACGGCCTACCTTGTTGTTTTATTTCTATTTATTTATTTATTTATTGATAGAACCACCAACGGAATAACATGTTGTTTTGTTATAAAAACTGACAATAGACTTAGGAACTAAGATTTACGTTTCCATTTAAAGGTAGTTACAGCGTGTTTAAAAAGACGATAAGTTTACGATAACTCAATAATAATTACAAGTATAAGTTTTTTTTTTAAATTCAAAACTGGCCTGCACTTGACTGCCATCCCACCTGATAATAATATATCCCACTAATATGAAACAACAACATAAAAACCAACAATAAGACAATAAGACAAAAAAATTAAAATTTCCTTACATATTTCTGTACAAAATTTAGGTGAAGAATTTCTAAGAGGCGTTAATTAGGCAATTTTTCCTAATGTGGGCGGTACATCAAAAAAGTTTGAGAAACACCGATTTCATTGATCGATTTTCGAATTTTCCACGTCGTCTTGAACCCCCCACTGCAAGTTCTCCTTCCAAGAAGATTTTTTAAGGTTCCGTACCCAAATGGTAAAACGGGATCCTATTACTAAGACCCCGCTGTCTGTCTGTGTGTCTGCCTGTCCGTCTGTCATCAGGATGTATCTCTTGAACTGTGATAGTTATCAGTTAAAATTTTCACAGATGATGTATTTCTGTTGCCGCTATAACAACAAATACTAAAAAAATTGAATAAAAAATATTTAAGTGGGGCTGCCGTACGAGAGACATGATTTTTTTTGCCGTTTTCAAGATTCCGTACCCAAAGGGTTAAACGGGCCCCTATTACTAAATTATAGACAATGATACGGAACTACTCGTGCGCAGTCCGACTCGCTCTTGGCCGGTTTTTGATTGCATCAGTCACTCATCGCCTTTAGGTCTTTACGGATCCACCGTGCTTGAGGTGGCCGCTGAGCGCGCCTAGCATAAACCTTGTTTGTGAGTGATTTTTTTTATGTGAAAAGTTGCATAGCGAGCAGGCGTTTCACCTGATGTTAAGTGAATACCGCCGCCCATGGACATCAGCTACACCCGAGGGTTGCAGATGCGTTGACAGCCTTTTCAAGATTGGGCTCCAGCTACCTAACTCACCAGACGAAACGTGAAAGTATTTGTTATACTTTCACTTTACGCCGGTCTTCTGTGAGGTCGTGGTACTTACCCGGACGGGCCTGCCTATTCGTGCCGCAGCCGAGGCTGCTGCGTGGCCCTACCTCAGTTAAATAGATAGGTAAACTTGTATAGGAACGATGGGCCAATCAGTCCTGTTGACTATATATAGACCTTGAATCCAATTTGGTATCCATCATCGTGCCAGTGCATCGACAGCCGCTGAGACGCATCATATCTAATAATAATCTTGTCTGCGCATCATTATGACCGAGTGAGTCATTTCATCCGATTGGACGTATGCACGTCTTTCAGCCCTATCGATGTAGATTTTTTGTGAGGATTAGCAAGCGAGCCGGCGGTACTCCTGAAGTTAAGTTATAACCACAGTCCATTGGCATATGCACTATCTCACAAAATAATTTTTAACAAAAAAAAACCCGACTTCAATCAGAAAATTATAACATTCAATGATGGCCCTCGATTTCTATGTGATTCCATCGTCAGATCCGGGTTTCCTTATCATGATACCACCCTTGGAATATCTCCTTTCCGACAAAAAAAGTATCATCAAAATTGGCTCATAAACGACGAAGTTACCCGCGAACACACATAAAAAAAATGTATACGGTCGAATTAAGAAGCCTCCTCCTTTTTTGAAGTCGGTAAAAAATAGAAAATTCTAACTAATTTACGTAATACACAACAGCTGCACCTTACCCCGCATAAACACCAGTGACGTTACGAAAAATTTTACGAGAAATCTCTTCTTTATCTTTCATACGTCCGTCGTAAACTGAAGGTCACCTGTTGGATCAGATTTCGTCGTAAAACGAAAGTCGTAATACATAAATATCTATTTTCAAAAGAACACATAAAACTTAATAATATTATAATTTAAAGTCTTGGGAATTTCTCCATAGAGACTATTATCATAAACCGCCAATGTACATAACAAAAATCTAACGCATTCTTTTGCCAGGATCAAACAGATAGCCACTTTTATCCGTCTTTACCCTTTTCGTTTTAAATACAAAACTAGGAAAATAAGTACATAGTATAAAACAAAGTCGTCCGTCCCGCTGTCTGTCTGTCCCTATGAATGCTTAGATCTTTAAAACTACGCAACGGATCTTGATGCAGTTTTTTTACTAGATAGAGTGATTTAAGAGGAAGGTTTATATGTATAATACATTGCACCCGTGCGAAGCCAGGACGAATCGCTAGTATAATATATTTCGTTAAATGTTCTTATGTAAGTTTGTATAACTTCTTTGAAACGGTAAAAATAAATATACACTTAACCGCGCTATACAAAACACCATAACCAATAAAATGAAAACATTATTTTGATATTGAATAATTTTAACATGTTGCTACACAACTAGACAACCACTGAAAACTTTAAACGTAAATAGAAAAATGCTTAAAATCTAGGCTTAAAATTAAATATTAAAATAATATTTAAAACCATGTAGGCACAGGCAGTTTTTTTAGTTCTAATATGGAATGTTTTATACGTAGTACTTATAGGTAACAGGTTCTGGTTAACTCCATTCAATGTCACACCGCGTTCGTAGCAAAAACAGATTAAAGAATAGATCCACCACAACCACAGACGATACAAAATAACCTCCATAAAAACACGAGTTCTTTGTCGGGCGTCCTCAGTTATTTTAACCGTGAGCTATAAAGCTTAACGGTAGCACCATCTTTGATTTACGACTTATAATAGTTTCGTAACGATATATATTTGATGTTGTTTACCGTCCACTTTATGTGTATTTCCGTTTTCAATGAAAATAGAACTGACATGATATCCATTTCGACAAGCTACGTGAGCGAATTCGGGCATTAAAAACACTTCTGTAATATATGTAATGGATATAATAAATATATTTTTGTTTCCGAATCAGATTCCGAATATTAATCAATTTTCAATCGATACTGAATACTAGGCCCCGAGTATCGATAATCGAAAATTACTAGTTCGAGTAAAAAATATTTAATCTCTATATCAATCTTTGATCTATGTATATCAATATATTATCAAACTCTCACCGCACCTAGCTACTACGTACAAAGTATAAATTATAGTAGGATGTATTGCTATAAATAAGACAAAAGGCGTTTTGTCATCGGGATCCATACAAAAAGGTGTCCCTCAGGGATCGTTTTAGGGTCATTTCTATTCTTGGTTAATGCATCACTTCATGCTCAAGATGACATCGGAAATACTTCTAGATATTTGCCACACTTTATTGTTATTTAAGTTAAATAGAAGTGGCCATATTTTGGATGCTCTATCATGGAGCACAATAGAACTCACAAGCAACAGAAACTGTATACGTTGAATTTGGACGTGTGAATTTTGGCACGGTCTTAAATTTAAAGTGTAGTAAAAAAAATTATGTGACAAGTTTGCAGGTGGCAACAAACCGATCACCTGATGTTTAAGCGAGTACCACCGCCTACGGGCGTCTATAACAACTTACCGGTTGACATTACTAACCTTTAAAAACGGGTCCGGTTATCCAGACGAAACAAAAAGCATATTAACCAGACGAAACAAAAAGCACAAAAGTTCCACTTCTTCTTCTAGGCTGTCCTAAATGTGCCCTAACTTCTTTTAGGCTATGGTACTCCCCGAGCCCATTCGTGGTACCAGTTAAAACTCCTCTACCTTTTAAAATCCACACTATTTACCCGTTCCTTGTTGCAATAGGTACGTCATAATGAAAACTTGTCTGTAATTAAAGCTCTTCAATAATCGGGATCAGACAGTTAACGAAGCATCATGGCATGTTGCTGTGGGAATCAAATCAGGTTTAAAGACACTGACATAAAAATAGGTGAGGGTCAATTGGTACCTTACGAACCTATATACATAATCTTTAATGTAAAATTTGACGATTCATAAGAGCGCGCAAGCGTCTATTTGAATAAATATATTTTTGATTTTTTGAGTTAAGAACGTGAGTTCCTGAGTAGCTTTTTAGGGAAATTGTTACTTCAACTCTACCGTAGCTACACAAAGAAAATATCATGTATATCTTTATATTATTTTCTTATGGCAAGGTTAAATGGACTGAATGTAGACTGATAGTCCTTTCCTATATAACTATATGAAAATATACAACCAAACTAATGGCAGCCAAAAACAATTGGGTGAACTCTACTTTTTCATGCAAGAAAGTGACGAGCGTTTGGTGCTACTGCAGTGTTTTGAAAATGTATCCGGTCCCCAGCGCCGAAGCTAACAGCTTAGCAGCTGCTCCACTGAGTCCTCTTACCGCTGTTTAATGTTATGCCAATTACTCTGTTAAACACATTTGAAGACTAAGCTGTATCAAAGTGACTCTTGCTCTTGCATGTCCTTGTTCTTTATTAAGCAAACATTATCTGTTTTGTACTAAAAACATTGAATCATATTTCTTAGTACAGTTTAAATTAAAATTAATTCTTGTTGGAGGGTGTAAAGCTGGAGGAAGACCGAGAAAGATTTGGATGGACTGTTTGAGAAATTATGTCTGTGAAGGGCTGTTGTGATGACGGCTGATATAGGACAGTGGAAGGAAAGGACATGTTGTGCCGACCCTACCTTATGTGGGTTTAGGGCAGGAGAGAGAGGAAATAAGTTTCTTGTTTCACTTACGGAGTCTAGATCTCTGTGTGTTTAAGTGTTATAAATTTTTAATTCCAATGATTTGACCTTGTCATCATGAAACGAAGGCTTAATAGTAAAATATAGCTTAGGATATAGCTTAGCAAGCCGTGAAAACTAAAACTACATCCGAAAAAATCATTACTGTCCCACACTCGTGTACGCTGTCAAAATTCGTTGGCGGCAAAACGTTCTGTCATCGAAATTCCGGCGTATTATAAGTCCATCGTCTATCAACGGCTTTCATTAAGACTCCCTGATCTCCAGCTAAACCGACAAAGCATCCGTCCAAGTCCGCAAACCGCATCGCATTTCCGAACGTCGAACCTTCGCAGGGTGCGCTTTCCGCGCGGCCGGCATGAGCCGCTGAGGGCGCCATGTTCGCGTTCTTCCGGCGGCGCGGAAGCGGGGCGGAGGGGGCGCGCGGGCGGCAGGGCGGGGGCGGGGGCGGCGGTGCGGCGGGGCGTGGGCCAGTCGGCGCGCGCGCCCCGAGCGACGACGCCGCTCTCTGCGCTCCCCCCAAGGACGTCGTCAACCTGCTGGTGCCCGAGGTCGACTACGCGCGGCGCTCCGGCGTGGCGGGGCTGCTGCGCAAGATGACAGGCAAGAGGCGCGGCGGGCGGCCGCCCCCGCCCCCTCCGCCTCCGCCGCCGCCCCCGCCAGCGACGCCCACGCGCGCGCCCGACGAAAATACGCGCGCGCCGCACAACAACACGTGTCGCTGGTGTACGTGCCCGACGAGAGGCAGCACGCGGTCGCGCTGCTTAGGGAGATCGCGCGCCGCATCGACTGCGACCTCGACGCGGATGAGAGCGCTCCGATGGGCAACGGGGAGAGCAGGGAGCCCGACGAGGGGCCCGCGCGGGCGGCGGAGGGCGGCTCGCCCGCGAGGAAGTCCAACCTGAAGCCGCCCAGAGAGGCCGACGGCGGCTCCGACGACGAGCGCTCCGACAAGAAGAGGGTCACGTTCAGGCGGCACGTGGTGTTCGACGACGGCGAGCAGCAGACGGACGACGAGACCAACTCGACGTTCGAGTCGCTCTCGTCGGGCGAGGAGGGCGACTACTTGGAGGACTGCATGGACGCGGAGAACAGGACCGTGATCTGTGTGAGTGAGGAGGGGCCCGTGAAGATACGGGTGGGGTGCTTCGACGACGGCCTGACGCGGAACTCGAGTGACAACAGTGACAGTGGCTTCGCGGAGATCGGCGCGAGGGGCGGGGCCGCGGACGAGTCGAGCCTCGAGCCGGAGGGCAGCGAGGCCAGCGATAGCGAGAGCGAGGTCGTCGAGGTGGTCGAGGAAATTGAGATCGTGCAAGCGGTGGCGCCGGATGGTGCGGCGGACGACGACGTGTGAGTACATCCGCCATTCGCCTACTTTTTTTTTTTTAATTTATTTGTATAAAAAAAATTACAAACTTATTAAAGTGATACAAACGAAACTCATAAGAGTTTTACCGTGTAACAGTATCGTCAATCGCGTATACATAGTTACTACGATTTATAATTTGCTGTTTCGATAATCTATCTACAGATAGATTTGCTCACTAGAGATAGAATTTTTGACTTATTATGAGGCTAATGTCAAACACCGTTCGTTAGTATCCAGATCTATCAGCAGACAGGATATTGAAACCGGCCGTTAGTTCTTGTAAAAGGAACTCCCTTCGGTACATTTACAACGGACCCGTTGCAGAATAAATGTACTTGTTGTTTACGAACTCCCAAAATTCGGGTGCACTTGCTAAAATCTCGTGAAAACAAAGCAATTTCGGAACGCACAGGTGTTTTGGTTATTGTACTTAAACCAAAATAGATTAAAACTTCATATACCTACCGAGAGATTATAGGTTGTTGTTGTTGTAAACGTATCTAGCGGTCTACGAACCAACAGCTGTGACACTGTACTTGTAATAGACGGTAAGAGTTACAATAACGTCTTTGTGGGCTGTATTCTGTCAGATCGAATTACATATGCATTTGACTTTTAAGAAAGCGTACCCCCATACATTTACTTCTTCAACGGCTAACGAGCGATATTCTTATTCGTTTTTTTTTTTTTTAATTTATGCACCACAGAGACCTACTTCAATAGTCATTTATTATTTATTATCCCAAATCCTACTCTTAACACGCGCCTGAAGCGCCGTACTAATTACAGATAACAAAACAATCTGCTTCTAAGTTCTTACAAGATTCACACAGTATTGGCACAGATAACTTAAATACAAATTATTATACAGTTTATTGATATAATATTTACAAGATTTACGCCCGGTTTCTGAAACACTGATCTTCGTAGATGTCAACTAATCAGCTGTCAAATGGATTTTCAAATGTCATTTTAGTTGCCAAAAGGATGGTTAAACTCTGAATTGACCAGAATGATCTTGTTAATGATCAGAATCATCAAATCAAAGAGTTTAGTGAGCCTTTTGGCAACTAAAATGAAATTTCAAAAGCCATTTGACAGCTGATTAGTTGACATCTACGAAAATCAGTGTTTCAGAAACCGGGCGTAAATCTATCTAAAATTACATATTATCTAATAAACCTAATCCACGCGGCATGGTGCCAAGAACGCTAGCTGCATTTCCTCGCTGAATAGTTATGCTTAACCTTTGAGCCAGAAAAGAACCAGCTCTCTTGTTACCAGCCGCGGCTTTAAGCCTAGGACATAAACTTTTAAAAAAATTTGACGTGCGGGGAGACCCCACGGACCTAAAGTTTCAACAGCAAATGTCCCTAATACATAATCTAAACATAAAGACTCATACTTGCGCCATTGACTTACTTCAGCTGCCTCCGATGCCGCCCCGGCCCTGACCGAAGTACCCCTTAGATGAGAGGCAGCCAAAGTGTACACAAGTGGCGTCCCAAACAAAGGTTTTGCCTCTCTCCCAAGGAATCAAAGTTAAACCGTCGGGTCTCTTACCATCGTTGCGAAAAATGCCGCAGGGCTCTAAAATAGATGGAACATTGATGGAAACAGGAGCCCTACGGTTGATGTCGTTCAGGGACCCGTGGCGTGAAAGCGGGCAGAACTTTTTTGACAAGAAAGCCCGTGGAGACCAAATTTGTCTACACTGACACCACAAGGGCATTGGTGTGGTTGACAAATCGGTGCCCCCAGACGGATTCCTACAGCAATGCGTAAGCTTTTATCGACAAGTAATGTGCCTTCTTTAGATGAGACACCTAGGAAACGGGCACGCTCTAAATTACTTTCTAAAGATTGAAAGATAGGTTTCAATCTTTAGAAAGTAATTTATCGTATCGTACGTATCTCTCCGCACCAAAGGAACATCCCACTGTTTTTGTAGGTTTACTTCCAGTGGGATATTTTCGTTGGACCAGATAGACAGCCAAGGCATCCTTGCCTCCTCGGCATAGGAAAATTCTGAATTGTGATTAAGGAGTAATTAAATAATTAAATAAATACAAACTGTATCAATGACACGTAAACTTAATAAAATAACTAAAATAAATAACGCTATTTTCCACTCAGGAATGAGTTTAATGGAAGATTCGATCTATATTCTATTTAATTATTGTAAGTTTGTTCAAAATCATTGCTATTATAATTTTGTAGTCACTCGTTTTTACTTTAAAATATAATAATTCACATTCTGCCTTTCGTTATTGGATACCAAAATATCGATAGTCGTTTTTTGTTTACAGTTTTTCTAATTTACGATTTATCTCCCCACAATCTTTTGTCATCTTACTATTCTTTGTCATGTTGAAATGAAATATTTCTAAAAAAAATATTTAATAAATTTATAAAATATTTTTATAAATAACGTGCTTTAATTTATTTATCCCTTTTTAATTTTAATTGTCCTATTACTTCGTTTCTTTCTGTATCTACTTTTCAGTTTATAGAAACGTTACCGTCGCATATCTGGTTTGTTTTCTAGTGAAATACTTTCATACTTACTTAATTCTTTTCATATATCTTTTTTTAAATTATAAATTATTTTCACTGATTTTAATCGCGCTCAATTTAAGCTCATAGTTCCGACACATTTCGACACTTTAATTTGTTACTAGCTGCTGCCCGCGACTACGTCTGCGTAGAGGGGTGAAAATTTAGGGTTGTATGTATTTTTATATGCTGTATCATAAAAAAATAAAACAAAAAATTTAATAAAAAAAATTTAGGCATGGACCACCCTTAACATTTAGGGGGATGAAAAATAGATATTGTCCGATTCTCCACCCTGGCCGATATGCACACAATTCTCGAAAATCGGTCGAGCCGTTTCGGAGGCGTTTAATTACAAACACCGTGACACGAAATTTTATATATTAGAGAATTTTATATGTTAGATAGTTTAACCTGTTGGGATTTCCCCATACAACATCATTCATAGTTAAGTCGCCAAGACTGAAGTGTTAAACTGTCTAAATAATGTTAATCCGGGCTAGCTTTGCTTATATAACATATGTGATATGCTCGTCTGTACTAGAGAATTGTTCTTTGTTGTTGTTTTAAAGGGATAATTCGTGAAGGGTAAACCTCAGTATCGTAAATATTTATAAAAATATATTTTTTTTTATGTTAGATGTTGGCATGAATTTTGCAATACCCGTAGGGTTGCGATGCGTTGTCACCTTTAAATAAAGTGGGCCGCGGCTACGTCACTCACCAGACGAAACTTCACTTCACGCCAGTCTTCTGTGAGGTCGTGGTACTCCCCAGGACGTTCCTGCCCATTCGTGCGACCACAGTGCCCCACCACAGTGATATTTTATAATGTCAGGAGAATTTAAACTATAATTGTATGGTCATATATAACTAATTCTAGCAAACGTCAAAAAAAATTGAGTAAAGAAAAATACCGTTGTTCTCATTCAATGAGATAAATAATACCTTTCTTAAAAATCAAATTCTTCATCAACTTGTACACTTATTTATTATATTATGTATTAACGGTAACGTTTGAGGATAACAGACAAAATACGCAAGTCAGTGGCATACAACGACCGTCCAACCGGGCAGCAACGAACTTACGCGCATATTTTGGCGGGAAATTAAACCCGAGGCCGCTAAAACACGGATGCTCGGCTGCAGGCATTTCCTTGCGGGCTTCGCCAAGACGCCCACAGACAACATTAAATCAGGCTACAACGTTCCCGCCGCCCCGCGCGAAAACAGATGACATTAAATCGCGCGCCGGCCGAATTAGTTTAATGAATATAATAATTTTTAATCTGTTGCGCGCGGTCCGCGAATCTCGTGATGATCAATATTTATTTTTATAATTTACAAGCGAAGAACGAGGAACGTATAGATAAACAAGTGATAACGCTTGTACAGCGTGTCGTTACCATCGCGACAATAAATGAACACACATATAAGGGATAACTTTTTAAAGTTGTATTAAACATTTAAATTCTTTAAACATCAATATTTACAGAATTATAAAATTTTGCAAAACAAAGAATTTTAGAACACCCTTACCTATAAAAGCGTAACGTAAAGGTCACAAAGCATATGAATGGGTTGAATGAATTTAAAAGAGACAAAACATACTGTTAGAAGGAGAGGCTTGTAATGCGACGCTGTGGCGCGAGTTGTATAGGATGGTACAAATTTTGTTTCTTTTTTACTTAATTAGTTTGTTTGAAAAGTATATTTTTTTAATTATGGATTTTGTTTAATGTTAATATTTTTTTATGATTATTGGCAAGTAGCGTTACACGTGTGTTCATTTATTGTCGCGATGGTAACGACACGCTGTATATGCGCACGAATATTAACAAAGAATATTTCAGGCCACGTACAAACTACATGATATATTATCGGAATCGACTCTAGCCTGTGGTCAGGGTAGAGAAAAATTGTCTTTCAGCATTCTTCAGTCGGTTCATAAATTGTAATTTAGCTTTATGTCATAAAATAATAACTACCAATTTATTCAAATCAATTATTGATTTGAATAAATTGGTAATTATTATTGTTACATATATAAATAATAATTAATAAATATATCTAAATAATAATTACCAATTTATTCAAATCAATTATTGATTTGAATAAATTGGTAATTATTATTAATATGCCATAAAGCTAAATTACAATTATTTACTGCAAACATCAACACATTATGAATTTAAATTAAATCTAGTAGCTGTAGTTATTATACCCTTGCTTCTTTAACATTGAGGAAGTTTATATTGCTACGTTATTAAAATTTATATATTTAGGACAAATTTTTACACTGAAAATATCTGTGAAAAAATCTGATGAAAATCTGTTATATAAATCTTCTATATTATTTATTTTAATGTATTTCTGTATTACAATAGTTTAGTTTAGTCTCAATGTTTAATATTAACAAGTGACG